GGGAAGGGAAGGGAAGGGAAGGGAAGGGAAGGGAAGGGAAAGAAAAAAGAAGAAAAGCAAAGGAAAAAGAAACCTTAACCCTTGGGACTGCACATCAATATATACAAAAGATGCTATTTTCTTTGTTATGGATCATTTCTGTCAGTTGCAAGCCACAGGCTGTCCCATTTGTTTTGGGGTCAGAGTTGCACATAGTTGTACATCATAGTTATCTCCAGCACTGTGTAGCAGTCCAGACATACAATGACAAATAATTTTAATCTAAAACTAATTTTACATATAAAATATAAAGTGATACCATGAGTTCAAACAAACCAACTAGCTTGAAAATTGGTATAGAATATGATATTCTGATGGCTATCCATATGAGGAAGTAGAAAAATTAGACATTGAGAAAATAAATGAACATATCCATTAGTTGAAGAGCGATATAGCTTTTAGCATGAGTAATATGTTTATATCGACAATCAAATAGCAACGTATGGCTAGGCCTTCATCTCATTGAGACAGAATCTTGCTTTGTCTACTCACCCACAGGAGACATTTCTGGAACACTAGCAGTGTAAGGGCCATCCAGAAACTTCGGCTCATTGTCATTGATGTCTTGCACTTTGATGATGAATTCTGATTCTGGCTCCAAAGGCTTCCTGGTTTCTATGTCCACAGCCTGAGCACGAAGTGTGTAGAAAGGTTTCTCTTCTCTGTCCAGGCTCCTTATTGCATGAATGTCCCCTGTGGTCTCATCGATGGTAAAAACAGTGCCAGCACCGTCTCCTGAGAGGGTGTATTTAACAGTGCCCTCTCCTTTGTCCAAGTCAGAGTGGAGCTTTGGGGAAGAGAAGAAGAAGGAGGAAGTGGAAAAGGGTAGAGGGGAGGGGAATGGGGAGAAAGAGGAGGAGATTATTAAATAAACACTTCCTTATTTTTGAAGCCATATTTACACTATACTTTTTCAGAGAATAATGTTGAACTTTGAGGTTTTTTTTCATGCTTTCATCTAATTTTTAATTATAAAAATTAATCACAGGATGTTTGAAAAGATGTACAATGATTAACACATACACTTATACTTTCTGTCATTTACTTTTCATTTTCTTATCTCCTCAAGAAGCTAAGCAATTGCTCATGGATTCTTCTGTCTATCTTATTTCTTAATGCATGAGGGAAATACAAGCTCTAGATGCAATCATTAGAAGAAAGATAATTTTGAAAAAAATTCAATAATTTTTAGCCTTTTGGTGATATTTTCATAAAATAAAATGGCAGACATCTTAAGTATAGATATTGTTTTTAAACAAACAATTCATAATTAGCTCATGCTGAACAAAGACTTCAACTCAGTATACTATAAGAAAGGTATGGAATCCAGCCTGATAGCTTTCAGTGAATGAATGTATCACGAAAATGTGGTATACATGCAGAACGGAATTTTACGCATCCGCTATAAGGAAATGGAAAGTCCTGTAAAAAAAAATTATGGTAAGTATAAGTCAGGGCCGGAGAGACATAGGATGCAAATATTCCCTTATATGTGGAAGATACTTAGATTTAAAATTGTAAATAAGTATGTTGGGTTATATGCAAATCTGGACAAGTGTATTAGAAGAAATATGGTAGATTCAAGGGAGAACTCAAATACTGTAATTCCTTACAAAGTTCAATGAAATAAATTCCAGGAAGGAAGAACTTGAAAGTAGTGAAGTGATGCCAAGGGGAAAGGAGTAGACAAATAAAAAGGGAATGGGGGAGAATTCAGTAAAGAATTCAATGTATATCTGACAAAAATAGCAAGAGTGACAGAAAGGGTGGGTAGGCAAAGGACTGGTGAGAATGTTGAAAGGGGTGACATTGATCAAGACGCATTATATTCATAAACTACTGGGTTCAATGGCAGCTCCTTTTGTATATCTATTAAAGTGATTGAGGATTAGGGGCTTCTATATTTTTAAGTAAGAAAAAAAATTATAAGAACACACTGAGCCTTTAACCCCTGAAAGAGATATCTTCCAGCTGAATAAAGTAGAGCATCCTGTTCTAGCAGAATGTGCTAGAATGAGTGGTTGAAGATGAGTTTGATTGGTTTAATCTGTGATTGTCTTTGCAAAGTCAAAGATAAGAAGCTTCTAATTTATTCCATATAGAGAAAAAATTATTCTTTACAGTATAGTAAAAACTTGAACTTTGTTAGTTTTGTTTAGAGTTGAACACATATATTGTTTGTTATAGTACACCAAGGAGTTAGGTACATATGAATGACTATACTAAGAAAAAAAATATTATCCTTAAGATAGAGTAAGTCACTGTTGCTCAAAGTGTAATTTAAGAATAAATAGAAAAAACATAATTTTTCAGATACGTAAATTATCATAGAATAACTGATAATGTGCACTATCATACTAAATGCATATTTATATGTAATGATATCACATGTTTTATGAGTATATTTATATGTAAGGATATGACATATTTTATAAGATAGTATGATTTTAATTGCATATGTGTATTCTTATTAATCATTTATTAGGAAATAGATAAAATATCTTAACCTACTTCTGCTCTTTGGTTTAGATAAATTAGTTTATTTTTTCTTAGGTTTAAAGTTCAGTTCAGTGAATAGAGAAATAGATTATTCAGAGGAACCAAATTCAACTTTCATATTGATAGATGAAATATCATAATCTAATTTAGATCTTTAGTTTGTAGACATGAGTTCATTTTGTTTTAGGTTTAAAGTTCATTTCAGATGAGTCAGAGGAAAATTATTCAACTTTTATATTGACCATAGCCGTTTGTGATGATTTATAATTTGCATGCAAAGACAATTTCCTTGAAAAACTTTTATCAGATGCCTTTTTAAAAATTGGTTGAACTCACAAAATAAATTTAAAATGCACTAAAATAAATTGTTACAAATAATATTTCTGAATATCAGTCCTAACAATTTCCAAAGATAAATGCACACCAAATATGCTCAACTTTGTCTATACTGCTACTATTCAAATTCAACATTTTGGCTTGTATTCAGTAAAATATTTTAATTAGTGTTATTTTTGATAAATGTATCAATTGTAAGTTTGAATTTATTTCTAAATGTTCTCTTGAAGAATATTTATATGAAGCTATGAATATGAAGACTTTTACCTTGTCAAGGGCCATAAATAAAATCATAAGGCAAAAATAAGATGTCATATGATTTGGATTGTTATTTAGACATTTTATATATTTTTATTTAAATAAATGAATAATTGTTATAGATGGCTCAAGGTAGTATTTTTCCTATTTATTTCAAGCTTCTCTGAAGCAAAGGAACTTCAAGTGTAAAATCAAGCTCTAGATAAATGTTCTTTGAACTTAGGGGTTTCAAATTACAAATTTCAACCATACTATTAAAAATATGCTATGCAGTACATATTGCTTTTGCTTTCAAATTCGTCTAGATATAAGACAGCTAAAAGCTCGATGCAAGAGAAATGACTTTATAAACCAGACTCATTTTGCCAATGGCTCAAATACATTCTCTGATATTTTGGGAACTGAGTGAAAATTCTAAGTGGGTTTTTACAATGAAATGCAAGTCCAGCTGCTAAATAAAATGTCCTTAAGTAAAATCAAAATTGTTATTAGCCCTATCACATATACAAAGAAAATTAAATTTCTGCTTCTTTTTAAACTTACCTTCTTTCTTTCCAATTTAAAAATGGACTTAACAGAGCTAAAACTTCAGATTTAATATGTATGTTAATGGTGAATTGACCAACTGAGACTCAACAGAAAGAGGAAGGAGGATAAGGAAATATAATCAAGGGTATGAAGTCATTAAAAAATGCAGAATGTATTTTTGGAACTATCTATGAATTCATCACAGTGAAATTTCCTAGTATAATTAATGCATGCTAATAATTCTCCTTGTAAAATAATAAAGAAATATCAGTGTGTTAGAAATTTTAACTAAAAATTAATAATTGTACAAATCTCAAAAGGATTAGATCCTTTATAGTTTTTGATCACATGTTAATATATTAAAAGAAGTCCCATGCAACATCCAGATTTGTCAGACAATATTTAAAATTAGGCATTTAATGCTAATTGGCTGTCATATGTGACTTACCTAAAGAACAAATGCTCTGTCAATATTACTTCTGATGTTATATAAATGATAATACCCTGATATTCTCATATTGGATACTTTAAACTTTTAGTTAGAAATAAAAATAATTGAAATAGAGAATAGTGAAATGTAAGATGAAAAATATCATCAACACTTATCCAGGGATATCTTTTTATTAAATTTGTTTCAGATATATATATATATACATATATATATATATGAATTCTAAAAGGTAAAAACATAGAAATATGTTCTGTATGTTTTATATTTTCTTAAAATGTACAAATCTATTTTATACACATTTAAATATATATTCTTATCTACATATTTGTGTATTCCCATAAATATTACTATTTGAAATACTTTGAATTATATGCAGTGTAATAGGATAAAATGTGTTAAAAAACATTTCCTAATCCCCATGTATGAAATGGGATTTCCAGATCCAGAATTTAGCACATAAACTTTTTGAGCTGGGAGAATTCATGTGGTCATTACTTCCTGCAACTCCTAATCCTTACATAAAGGATTTGGATTGCTAAACGTATTATGTTCCTTAATATTCCAAATGTGTAGCTACATGTGGTCCTCCTAAGAACCAGGAATAGTAGGTGAATTTTAGAGCTACCTTTGCCAGGTATAGTCCTATTTACCTGTCTCTACATTTATTAAAATTATGTCACTTGATCGTTTCAAAGGAAACAATAGATGCAGACAGCCCCTTAGATTAAGTTAGTGAAAACATTTTATTTTTGTTTTGTCTTGTTTTGCTACCTGGTTTTAATTTTTGAGTTTGACTCTTTTGATTTTTTTATGTGAATGTTTGTGTTTGTATGTTTTCTGGTATTTAGTTTCTGTGAAAACAGCAACTTTTAAACCACAAATATGATCTGTGGTTGAAACTTGAAGGGGAAGGAGTAGATGAATGAGGAGGAGAAGAGAGGGCAAATGTGGTAAAGAATTGAATGTATATCCTACCCAATTAAGAAGTGTGGGTGGAGGGGTGGGGAGGGGAGACTGTTGAAAGGCCTAATGTTGACCAACATACATTCTATTCATAAACTGCTTTCTTAAGTCTCAGTGCCTTTGTACAACTACTTAAAGGTAATGATAAGAAGAAGAAGAATCTCTATCAATAAATTTCGCTTTCTCAAGCCTCTCATTGATAATTTTAGGCTTAGTTTAGCCTATGAAGTTATTTCTACATCTCATTTGCATGAAGGAGGGAGAAGTAAGGAAGAGTTATTCATAGGCCTTCTCTCCTCTTTAGGTGGTGTTAACTGTAAAAAAATATGTGCTTCACTTTACATAGTCACTTTAGGTCATGCATATATAAAAATCATACATCTATAAAAATAAATGCATTTTTATTCATAACAATTTTAACTGCAAGTAATATGTGTTATTCCAAGTATTAAAAATAAGCTGATTCTGAGCTGGTGCTGACTGCATTTACAGCCCACTCCAATAATATCATTTTTTTAGAGTATTGTCACTTAAAATAAAATTTGCAGAAACAGAGTTCCATAAATGATAAATGTAGAAATAGGCACTGTCCAACAGTTGCTCTGTGGAAGTGATGGTGTTATTTTCTGATGTGTTCCAAGTCATCTCAGATGGCGTGTGAAAAATCAGATGCCAAAGGAGGCTTAAAAAAAAGTTCATACAGATGAGCTCCCAGAGAGCAAATCTTGAATCTCAACGTCCCAGAGATTTGA